ACACTCGTTTTATGCGTATTTGGCGCCACCTATTGTTGTGGGTGTATTATTGACATGTCGAAGTCTAGACCCTGAATATAAGACGACCGCATGTTTTCAGATGTATTTCCAAGAAAAAAACATCGTCTTATATTCGGGACAATACGGTCATTTAACAGACCTATTTATGATGATAATACAATCAAATATAATTTAATTAATTAATTAATAAATTATAAAATAATATTCTAAATATATAATAAATCTGTAGTTTGTCAAACAGCTGATTGCCAAGTTTAGTAATTAATAAACTCATAGAATTCCATTAGTGTGGGATCTTTGGATCGCATTGCACGTGTATTGAGCATCATGCCTCGTCTCTGGTGTTTCAGGTGATTTACGAGCTGCCGACAGCCAATCAGTGGTGTTTCGATGTGCAGTGGTGTCCTCGTAACCCCGCCCTCCTGTCAGCCGCTTTGTTTGACGGACGGATCAGTGTGTACTCTGTGATGGGAGGACGTCTTCAGCAGCAGCAGCACAGCACGGTGGACCAGGTGAGATTATGGGAACATTTAACCTGCTTTTCTATGAGGAATGATGATCACATGATCTCTCTCTCTGTTCTTAGATCTCAACTTCGTTTGACACCAGCGACCCGTTTGGAAGCGGTCAGGCTCTTCCTCCTCTGCAGGTTCTTCAGCCCTCAGTCGAAACCACCATCATCCCTCCGCTAAAAAAGCCGCCCAAGTGGGAACGGAGGCCTGTCGGCGCGTCCTTCGCTGTGAGTGTTTTAGGGATGTCGAGACGTCTGTTATTTTAAAGGTGACATATCATGAAATCTGACTTTTCCAGGTTTTAAGTGCTTTAATCAGGTCCCTGGTGCATCTAACTACCAAGGAAATGTGAAAAAGATTAACCCAGTAACTTTGTTTTGGGAAGCCTTTTTCTGCAAGCGTCTGAGAAAACCAGCGCGTCTGATTTCGCTCCCTTGGTGACGTGGCAAAGGGATCTCATTATAATATTACCGCCCCTTAATCTGCACGTTTCCACCCACGGCGCCGTCATTGTGTTTTCGCAAGCGACAACGGTGTACTAGTCCTAAAGCCATGGAGAAAGTTTGAGCAAAGCACGCTAACTGTTCTGTGTTTGTCTGCACAGACGAGCACAGAACACTGTTTAGAGTCCCAGCCTCAGACGAGACAACAGAGCAGTGCATTTATTGATTTATTTACTGTATATTGCTGCTGCCGCACAGATCTAAAATAAACGTGAGCTGAAACTTCACAGACACATTCTGGGGACACACACCTGAGACTTATATTACATATTGTAAAAAGGGGCATAATGTGTCTCCTTTAAGATGTTGCTGTGAGTCTGCGCTCGCTTCTGTCTCCTCCAGTTCGGAGGGAAGCTGGTGATGTTTGAGAGCCCTAAAGTGGCGCCTCAGCAGCAGCCAATCCCGCGACAGGTGCATGTGAGTCAGGTGACCACAGAGACGGAGTTCCTCCAGCGTTCAGCCGAGCTGCAGGCCACTCTACAATCCGGATCCTTCAGCAGCTACTGCCACGGCAAGATCAGGAGCGCCCCGTCTGACGCCGAGCAGGACATATGGAGGTTCCTCATGGTACAAACTTTCACATTTACACACAACTTCTTCTGTCAAACACACAAGAGCCGGCTTCATTCAGAATCATAGTTAACAGAGTCTTGAATCGCTTCAGTGCACTACATTCCATTACTGTTTCTCCAGGTCTTAAAACGTCTTAATTCGTCCTATGAAGGCTGAAGAAGCTTTTAAATCAGAGCCAGAAGTCATGGCAATAAATGTTGCATGCACTGCGATACATGAATATCGTGTATCTGTTTTTGTTTTTTAATATAAGTATCTTAAATCAGGATGCATTTACTTGAGATGCAAAATGTGTGAAAAATAGATGATCAATTTCAGAGACTTTTTATATTGTTGGGTAGGACTGCACGATTTGAAATCTATTTGATTTTTGGGATAAAAATTATTTTAAAATGTGATTTAGAAAACACTTGTATAAGAATTCTACTACTAATATTAGTAACAACAACAATAATATTTAAAATAATAACTATAATGCTAATAAAAATTAAATTAAATTCTTAAAATATTATTAAATAATAATTATTGTTGTAGTATTCATTTTCTTGTCATTATTAGCCTTTTTTATTTTAATAATAATAATAATAATTATTATTGTTAGTTATTTGAATATTATTATTATTATTAAAATACTATTAAATTATTGATGTTGCTCTTGCTGTTATTAGTATTGTTATTTTTCTTTTTATTATTAGTCTTATTTATTACGAGTAGTTATTATGATTATTATTAATAATGTCATTATTATTAGTCTCAGTATTCTTTTTACTATTATTATTAATATTGGGGAAGTGGAATGGCTGTATTTAGTGTATTTAGGATTTTAAAATGTGACTTAAAAAACGTGTTTATAGAGCTTATAGGGCCGATATGTTATTATTATTATTATTATTATTATTAATTAATATAATAATTATGTCACTAAACCATCAAACTTTTATTTATTTGATGAAAACCGCAGGAAGCCCTTAAAGCTTCTCTGTCGTTAATAACCGCTTCTAGTCTTATAGGAATGCTATATTGCGATTTCTGTTTTATTTCAGATTCTAGAGAGCTCATGCATTCCCAGGGAATCGAACCCATAACCTTGGTGTTGCAAGCGCCATACTTTACTGTTTGAGAGACGGGATTAGAGAATATAGATAATCTTAAAGCTATCATATTCATACTAAAAGCCACAGAACGTCACATTTATGCTCTGAGAACTGATGCACACATCACTTTCAATCAGTCGTTGTTCTGCTGTGTTTCTAACAGGTGAATTTTGAGGATGAGGCGCGTGTGAAGTTTCTGCGGCTGCTGGGCTTCAGTAAAGACGAGCTGCAGAGGAAGGTATCGCATCACAATACAAATCATTACATTCGGGGAGAGCGGGGTAAACTGAGCCACTTCTGAGACATTTGTTCTAAATTTGTGACCAATTATGCATAATGCCGTTTATCCACTGACACATCTTACCCCACCTCATTAAAATCATTGGAATAATGCTTTTTGGAATGCAATAAAGGAATAATGTGACCTGGAGATATTACACTGACTCCCATAATGACCAAAAAGCAAGTCTTCTGATGATGCTTTGTGAGAAAATCAGACTCAAACGTGTTTGTTTTTAAGTGAAGCTCTAATTCTAACCTCGATTCCTGCAGATCTCAGCGTGTTTGTGGAGGAAGCTTCATCCGAACGGTTTAGACGTGAATGATCTGGCTGAGAAGATGCAGACGCTTTCTGATCAGGTGTGTATTAGGCTTGCCGCGATAGACGGTGTTAAGCCGCAATACCGGTTACGTCACTTGCCCATCGCGTCACCGACCCCCACCGTCGTTTTGATTTTTTATAGTAATAAAAATCATTTAGTTCAGTAAAAGAACAGACACTACAATTAAAAACTGAACGCGGCTGCTCAATGCAGCGTGCCGAACGACAGTCGCATCACAGATCAGATTTC